AGTCTCTTTCTATCCCATGGTTGCTCCTCTCTGACTCCTTCCTCTAAAATGCCTATTGATCCTTTCTGGCCAGGTATTTCCAGACCTAGCAAAAATGTGTTTTTGTTTTGTTTTTGTGGTTTGTTGTAATTGTTTACTTACTGATTTTAAAGCTGAATGGTACGTTTTTTTTTCTCAGTTGTGGCTCACTAAGTTCAATTCCTCTTAGATTTAAACTTCAACTTTTTTAAAAAATAATTTGAGGGAGATTTCACTATCAGATATCCCCATGTCCTTAAGATGTTTCTGGGGTTTTCTCCAAGTTTCATTTTATGGATAAAATTATTGGGAATTTAAAGATTTTTTTTTTATTCCTTTCTCCTTTGCTCTAGGAAACTCTGTTGCCTTTGGATGCAAGTTTCTGCTTTTTTTAAAAAAAGGTTTCAGTATCATACAGAAATCTAATATGTAAAAGAAATTTTACAAGTTTCATTTTATGAATACAATTATTGGGAATTTAAATAATTTTTAATCCTCTCTCCTTTGCCCCAAGAAATTCTGTTGCCTTTAATTGCAAGTTTCTGTTTCTTTAAAAAGGTTTCAGTAACATGTAGAAATCTAAGAAAAAGAGATGTAAAGAATAATTAAGCTGCATAAACATATGAGTAATGAAAAGAAAACGTTACTGAATATTATTCCTTGCTTTTCCTTCATCTGTTTTTTCACTCTCTGATTTCTCCTCCCCCACCCCCGACTCCCAATTCAGGGTATTTAACTAGTTTTTTTTTTTTCCTTGTACACATGGAAGTCTTAATATGCAGTGTGGGGAATCTTAAAGTTTAATTAAAAGTAATAGTTAAAGGAATGTTTACAGTGTGGAAAATATACATAAAGTACCTTTCTTAAATATATGGATATTATTAAAAACTGAGAGAGTAGTACAAAGATAATTACTAAAAAGCTGAACTTAAACAAGTGTTGTCACAAAAATAAAGGAAATGCACCACATTAAAGAGAATAAATGAAATCGATTTTCATAACTGTTACGGCGGTGGCGTCAGTAATGGGAGACAACCCTTTTCTAAATGATTAGAACATTTATTGTAACATTAACTGACTACCCGTGGCTGCCACAAGCTAGTAAGTTCACGCATGGTGGCGGGCAACAGCTGACTCTCCTGACAGCTCCTTTTATATTGCAGCTGTCAGCCTAGACAGTCAATGAAGAGGTGCTACAACTTCCGCCAGAACTGTAGACTAGAACGAGGACCATGTCGGTACGTAACACCCCTTTCCCCGTTACAGGCATGTGTACTCTCGCAAGTAGGTGGGGCGTCGCCTGACTCAGCCCGACCTACATGGTTCAGTTGGAATAGCCACTGGTGACGGGTCAGGTGTGTGATCAGCTGTCTCCTGTGGCAGCGACTCAGGGCATGTGGATGCAGAAGATTCTTGTTGACTTGAAGAAATGTCGAAAGGTAAGTCCTGCTCGAGCTGTGGCTCAGCGGTCATCATCTGGGGTTTGGGATCATCGGTTTCACTGTTTATTGATCGGTTGCCATCTTGTCAGTCACCATCAGGCCAGTGGTCCATGATGCATTCTACCAACCTCGCAATTGATTGATGTGCCACCGCCGTATATGGCCATCAGGTGGTCTAACTCTATAGGATTTGGGGCCAGTGACAGCAATTATTTCCCCGGGTACCCATAAAGGATCTCCTGCAAAATTTCTTGCATAAACTGGGTCATATAGTTTAAAGCCCTGAACTTGCTGGAGGAATCTAAGGGACAGGAAGGGGAAAAATTCAGGTGCAACCTGTCAAGGCTTATCTGCAACTGCCAACCCATCAGGAGCTCCGCCAGGGAGCAATTAGTGGATGCGCTTGGTGTCGCGTGTTGGATTAAAAAGTACTTGGCTAATTTCTCATGCCAATCCTCCCCTCCCATCCTCCCTAGGGTCTCTTTGGCAGACCTTATTGTTCTCTCAGCCTGGCCATTTGATGCCGGGTGATAGGGCGCAACCAAAACATGTCAGATACCCCTCTTTGCTAAGAATATTTCAAATGTGTTGGATGTAAACTGGGACCCATTATCAAATACCAACACATCGGGTAACCCATGAGTTGCGAATAACCTGGTTAGTGCCTTAAGTACAGCTTCTGAAGTTACCGAGTGCATAAGCATGAGCTCCACCCATTTAGAATACGAATCTACAAGCATTAGAAATGTTCAGCCCTTAAAGGGGCCCGCTAAGTCGATATGCGCTCTTGACCAGGGGGTTCTAGCTGATTCCCATTCAAAAGGTGGGCCCTTGACAACTGACAAGCCTGGCAGGCTCCATCTGCTTCAGTAATGTCCATGTCCAACCTAGGCCACCATACATAGCTCCTAGCTATAGCTTTCATCCTGGCCACCCTGGGATGCCCTTCATGTAGATTTTCCAAAACCCGGGGCTGTAATTTACTGGGCACTACTACCCTACACCCCATAGTAGATAGCCCATTTGGGTGGACAACTCATATTGTTTAGCTTTGTATGGAGTGAATGTAGATGCCAACGTCTCTTTTGGCCACACACTCCTCACCCAATCCAATACTTTAGAGATTACTTCATCCTTAGAGGAGAACTGAGCTATGTCACGTGCTGTAATGAGCAATTGATTGTCATCGATTAACAGGACAGTCAATGTAGTAATGGGGTCTTCAACTCGTACTGGGGGGCAGCGGCTCAAAGCATCAGTGTTACTAATCAATTTGCCGGCACAATAAATTAGTGTGTAGGAATATGCTGATAAGAACAAGGACCACTGGGTCATACAAGGCAAAAGAATGTTAGGAGTTTGCCGGTTACCTGCCAAAGGTCCTAATAAAGGTTTATGATCTGTTATTATTTCAAAATAACGTCCAAACAAAAACTCATGGAATTTTTTAACGGTGGTGACCACAGCGAGGGCCTCTCTGTCCAACTGGTTGTAATTTCTCTTTGTGCTCGACAAGGTTCTTGAGAAATATGTGATAGGTGCCTCATGTCCATTTGGAACTTTGTGGCTAAGGACTGCCCCAATGCCAACCGGAGAAGTGTCACACACCAGAATAATTGGAAGCTCACAGTCAAACTGAACCAAAACACTGTCAGAAGATAGTAATGCCTTGACAGCTTTGAAAGAGGTAGCTTCCTTTTGGCACCAAACCCAAGGCATCTTAGTGTCTAGCAGTCTATGAAGGGGCTCAGCCGCTGATGCTTTGTGCGGCAGGAAGGAACGATAGAAATTTAGCAGACCTAAGAAAGCTTGCAGCTCAGCCTTGCATGTAGGGGTTGGGGCCTCTTTGACTGCTTTAACCTTTGATTCAATAGGGTGGAGTCTGGTAGCGTCAATGCGGTACCCTAAGAAATCCACCTGAGGGACAGCAAATTTGCATTTGTTTTTCATAAGTTTTAAATCGGCTTTTTGGAAATGGAACAGGACATCCCTGAGACATGAAATAAGTTTGCTTAGATTGTTTGCAGAGATAAGGACATCATCAAAATAGGGAATGATACCCTCAATGCCTTGAAGAAGATGCTCAATAATTCTTTAAAAATGCCTGGTGCAGTACTTATGCCGAATTGCAACCGGGTGCATTTAAAGACTCCCCGGTGAGTGACAATAGTTTGTGCTTCGGCTGCACCATTGTCAACAGGAAGCTGCTGATATCCCTCGGCCATATCCAGCTTTGCGAAAATGCACCCTTTTCCCAAGGAGTGTAACAAGTGTTGGACAACTGGCACCGGCTATGCGTTTGGTGTAAAGTCTTGTTCAGTGTGCTTCAGTAGTCTGCACACAGGCGAATAGAACCATCCTTCTTTAACAGGGTAATGATGGGGGTTTCCCATCTTACGAAATCGACAAGCTGTCATATTCCCTGTGAAATTATTTTATCTAACTCCACATCTACTTTCGCCCGCAAGGCAAAAGGAACTCTTCGCAGCTTAAGGCGAATGGGCGCCACTAAGGGGTCCAAACTGAAAGAGATTGGGGTACCATTGTATTTGCCCAATTCCTCTCTAAATACATCAGCAAACTTGTTTAAATTATTATCTATGTTCTGGCTTTGTAAGGAATGGATGTCATTTACTTTCAAATCCAATGCAGAGAACCAATCTAATCCCAGAAGGCTAGGCAGGGTGCCTTCCGCAATTAAAAGGGACAGGCGACCCATAAAGTTCTTGAATTTGATGGAAAACCTGCCAGACCATATGACCGGAATGGAATTACCTTGATAGTCCTTGAGCGATACCTGGCAAGGTTTCAATTGTCTCTTAGCGATAGTAGGAACCAGGCATTTTATGGTGCCCCATGAGACAATGGAGAGGGACCACCTCCATGGAACAAGGTTTTCCTTCTAAATACACAGTAACATAAATTTTGTTAGAACATAGTTTGCAAGAGTGACAGGGAAACAATTTAGAAGTGTGGCAAGCCCTAGCGATACTAAGACATTCTTCAGATTGGGTATTTACTCACTGCTGTGCTTGGTAAGGAAAAGGTTGATTCAGGTTTCTTCTGCTTTTGCAAACCCTTGCTAAATGTCCCTTGCGTTGACACTTTAGACAAATAACATTTGCTTAAGCAGGACAGCTGTGGTTGTGCTGGTTGGCTGATGGAACCCCCATTTCTTCTTGGTTGTGACTGCTGGCCCTTGAGCCTATGCATTTCTTCAGTTGAGGCACCTCAGGGAACACGACTTCAGAATGGGCGGAAGCTTTGGTAGCAGCAGGGTTGATAGAATGCGGATTAGAACTTTGGATCTCAGCTGCCGAGAGTGTGGATTGCTCAGAGATGCCCAGAGTTGGGTTTTTCAATGAGCAGCTGTAGAATCCAAACATAAATAAATAACCATTGTAAAGTAGGAAATAAGATTGACCTCATTTAAAGCCATTCCATATATTTATTTGTATTTATTTATCATATTCGTATAGCCATATGATTATGGATGCTAAATTGTTTCTTTTCTCTTTTATTGATCCAGTATCAGTAAAGATGGACGTCCCTGGGAAAAGTCCAATTACAAAGGACTTGTGCCCTCTCTGTTCCAAAGCTTTTGACACTATGCCACATGTAAACTCCTGTTTCCACAGCTTCTGCTTTTCTTATACACAGGACTTGTTGGAAACCAAGGCAAAATGTCCTTCTTGTAAACAGCCTTTCCATTCGGTTTCTCATCCTGTGAATGTTCCTCTGAAAGAGCTCCTATCCACAAAACACCGCCAAGAAAACCTCTCCTCTTTTTCACCATCCAGGAAGAACCCTGCAAAATATGGTCTCTTGCATTCCAAAAAGAACTTGGACGAATATTCATCTTTACCTTCTAAAAGTCAATCTGAAGATCACATCACTTTGTCTTGTAAAGACTATTCTCCCTCCCTTCATTTAAAGAGTTGCTGTAAAGTGTCCCCTATTAGATTGCCATCAAAAGACAATCGACCCCCTTGTGAAGTCACAAATTTTCAACCCCATTGTGAATGTCACCATATGAGGGTTTTAGGAAAGAAGCCAGTTCGTGTGTCCAGACAATTAGAAGAACCTGAATTCAGATCCACTGCAAACTCCCTGAAATTTGATAACGATGATCTGGAGAACTTTGGCTCTAGAATAGCAGCTTCCAGTTTGTCTATGTCAGATTTTCTAGAAGCTACATTTATGCTTATTTCTTCTGGGGCAATGGCATTCATATTTCTTTATATCTATTTAAAATTGGTTCTTGTACATAAATAATAAAAGTCAGATTTGTTTGTGAACATACTAAGCTCTGGCTGATAGAAACAATACTTCCTGAGTCATTATGTTCTGATATAACACATGATCACAATGCTTTGATATATTCTTTTTTTAAGATGCGTTACACAAAATGACAAATATACTGTATAATAGTATTGCAATTCAGGGCCTCGGAAACATATATAATATTTGACACCAAATCATTCTCTGTACATTCCATGGGAAACTCTTCCCTATCTATCCATCTGAGAAGGTTCAAGAGATGTCCTGCTCTAAATTCTACCCCGGGGAGAAATCAGATGAGACAAAGAAAGAAAAAACTCTGTATTTGGGTCACAACTAATTGAAAGCCCGTTTCATACCTACCAATCTTGCCCTCTAGTCTTAGGATATATAATATGGCTTCCAATTAAATAAAAATAAACTATAAGCAGATTTGCATAGAAGATGGCAATCTTTCTAGCTGCAAATTGTTTAGGGTTTTGTTGATTAAAACAAGCATCATGAAATTGTCTGGAAATAAACTGGAAGGATGCAGAATGGCATATATATGGAAAACTAATGGGGAAACTTTCTCTGTATCAAATTCCTACCAAAGGTAAATATAGTTAGTGTTTTCAAACCTAGTTTAAACTCAAACTGAAAACGATCCAAATAAACAATTTAATCGAAGCTTTATGCCAATTTCCCACCCCCACCCCCCAATACGTGGGCCTGAATAGGTATGAATAGGCTTGTACTCACACATAAATACAAACTGGTACTTCATGTAGAAATTTTTAAATTACAAAGATCTTAAAGATTTAGTAAAAAAAATAAAACACAACCCATTTCATGTTTTCCATTTCGATCTCTACATGTCCACTTAACAAAACTGGGTCTGTGGAAGGAAGGAAGACATGTGAATAAGATCCCAAAGTTTTGTGAAAGAAAGGAAAAAACAGATTCAGGGAAGGGGGTTAAATTCTTAACATCAACGAGTTTTCCTACATCAGTCAGCAAAAAGAGATTTAAGGTCACTACATTTGTCCAAAGAACTCAGCTGATAGTAAGCAATCTGTCAACTTTCAAAGATGCTGGACATTCTTTTGCGGGGGCTAAAATGACATATGTTTAAGACTGCAATTCTATGCATGTCTCATTGAACTCAGTGGGACATCTTGACCCTAAGGTGCACTGCATAGCATTAGTTTCTCAAGAAGCAAAACAGCTGCTACCTTTGTTCTTTTTTGTGATAATTTCCATTCAAGGTGAGCGTTTCAAGTTTTCCCTGTTACCCAATTGTATACAAGATCATTAAGTCATAGGCACTGGGTTAGTATATGTACCATATACCATATCTGCGGGGAAGGAAGGGAAACTAAAGAAGAGCTCACTTCAATGTGTTTTAGTTTTCTTATCTAAGAATGTCTGTAGCTTCTACCAGTTGCAGCTGTCAGAAGCCTGAGATGGTCATCTTGCTACATATTCTTCAGCTGCTCATGTCAAACAGCCAACAAATCATTGGGCTCAATATACATCAGTGTCATTCTAGGATGGATAAAGTTATCATGATGGCTTATGGTTTATGATTCTAGTGGTATTACAAAATGCTGGACTAAAGAAGTTGGAGAACACCATATCAGTCTCCCATAACTTTGTTAATTAAATTCAATCAAATGTATGTGAGGTTTCCTAATTTGATTTTGAAATGCCAGTGGGGAAAGAACTGGGGCTGTTTGTTTTCAAAGCGTAATTATTTTTTCTCTAATAATTTTGACTCCTCTTCCATATACATCTCATTCAAGCGAGAAAATGTATGTGAACCGGTCTCTTCTCACATTAAAAAGCAGGAAATGTGTGGTTTCACATTTTATTTAATTAGCATATGGCAAAAATGTTAAACACATCACAATGATATTCTCAATGAGGAAACATGCAACTATTTACTCTGTTTACATATTCAAAGGTAGACTATTTATATAGTCAGTACACGATGGAGTTGCATACCAAAAGTCTGTGGGGTTCCCTGACATTCATTCAGAGGGCAGTTTTTCACAATAAGTAGTCTGTTTTCACAATAACTGTCTGTTTTGGAGCACTACAGCTACATTCCAAAGAGGAGAGCTTTCTCCATTTATGGAGGAGACTAGACATGTTGAGGTTTAATCCTGTTGAGCATTCACCAGATCTTTTGGACAGTTTGGATCCTTTTGGTTCTAGAGGAGCATTCTTGCATCCAACCTGAAGCAGACTGAAGTTGTTATCCAGCAAGCCCTCCTAATAGGTTGAAGTCTGGAGCAAAGCCTATTGTTTATAGCTTCAGTAATATCTGCATTGATTGGCAGGTCTCACATTCACTCATCAACACAGTTCCAAACCATTTCCCCTAATGGCAATTTGACCAGGGAATGGGGAGCTCAACCTCCTAGAAGGTTTATTTGCTAGTTTTTTCCTACTGGCTGCCTGAAATTTGGCACTTCAAATCTCACCAAGCTCAAGGTTGACTCAGCCTTCCATCCTTCCGAGGTCAGTAAAATGAGGACTCAGATTGTTGGGGGACAATATGCTGACTCTGTAAACTGCTTAGAGAAGGAGTGATATATACGTCTAAGAGCTATTGCTATTAGGTCACAATAGAAGCAGCAAACTCATGCCCCGTTTCTTCTTGTGATAAAGCCAACAGAATCCTGCCTTTACAACCACATGATTCTTTATTCCAGATGAAAATGGCAGAAAGAAAGGGAAGAAAGAAAGAAAAAGACAGAAGGGAAGGAAGGAAGAAAACAAAAAGAAAGAAAGACAGAAAGATTATAAATTCATATTTCCCTATCACAATTCCCTAGATGAATTGCTGGTTAACATTAGCTCGAGGCTTTAGAGTGGATTCTGAATTATAGGCTGTACTGTCAACATGGTTTTAGGATTAGGTTTGACAGGGAATGAATTTGACAAGTGAAAGTCACTCCCATTATTGTAATAAGTTCATCTCCTGATGAGCTTTGGATTAGCTGTGGCAGCCATGCCCTGCAGGATTAGGATAGTATATAAATTCCAAGGCATTTCTAAATGCACTGCAGGTTTTTTGAGATGGATAGTGCTTCTGTTGAAATTCCAGTTTCACTCTGGAATGGCAAGATGAGAAGGATCATTAACATTGCTACTCCTGATCTCCCTGTGTTTACAGGGAGCCCAGAAAGTTCTGGAATTCTGTGAGGAAATCTGGACAATGATGTAGGCTGATAGGCTTATCTAGGCTGATAGGCTTAGTGAGTGCGATTGGACATAAATAATACATACTTACAACCAGTATATGTTGTTCAGTCAGCCAAGCAAAACCATTTCTTTGTCATTATCACATCTTTAGTGAATCAGCCAAGCATTTTTCCTCCTAGATCTTTTTGTAAAAAAAAAAAAAAGTAACTGCTTTAAAAGTTATATTAACTTCCTTAATGAACCGATTCCTTAAAATAGAGGCATCTGTCTTCATATTCACACAGAAGCCAGAAAAAAGAGGGGCTATCTTAATGTTGTATAGTTTTTATTAGTTTATAATATAACATACAAACGGAATACAAAAGCAAATATCAGGGAAATTAGGAAAGGAAAAAGGGAAGTGAATAGTGGGAGAAAGGAAGGGGAAAACAAAAAAAAAGGCATTGACTTCCGATTCCTTTGGTGTAATAAAATAAGGCATTAAGATTCTACCCTGAACTTTTTACTTTTTCATAATATTAGAAACTAGCCATTTCTGTAACAACAAATCTATCTAATCGGTAAAGCCCAAGGTCAACGTTTCATCTTTTTCCACTTCAAGCACAAAGTCCAGACGTGGTTTCCAAGTTGAAGTAAAGGTGTTTGTGTGTGTGTTTTTTTTAATCAATCAATTTAGCCATCTCTACTAACTCCCATCAGTTTTTGCAGCCATTCATCCATTGTGGGAGTTGAGGTGACCTTCCATTTCTGTGCGTAGAGTAGTCTTGCTGCTGTCAACATATATAACATCAGAGTTCCATTTTTAAAAGTCTCTGGATTTTTTTTTTTTTCTGTATTCACTTTAAGAATTTTCTGTATTAGGGTATGAATCCTACTCCAATGTTTCTTTGCTTTATCACACATCCACCACAGATGATAAAAAGTCCCTTCTTTACACTTACATTTCCAACATTCATTTGAGGTACCTTTATACATTCTTGACAATTTATGTGGAATTAAATACCAATGATATATCATCTTATAAAAAATATTTTAAATTATAGTTTAATGTAAACTTTAAAGCTTTATTCCACATATTCTCCCTGTGTTGAAACATTACATTTATCCAAAATTCCTTACCCACTGAATCATACAATGCTTTATTTGTTCATTTTCCATATTTATATGCAGTAACACTTTATAGACTTTAGCAATAATATGTTCATCACTACCACACAATCAAGTATCCAATTCATTTTTAACAAAGTTAAGTGAATAGCAGAGATACGTTATGCTTGTACCACTTGTATAATGTCTTCCAAATAGGTTTTGAAGTAGGCATAGCACAAATGTTTTGCTCATCATATATACCGGTATATATAGGAACAAACATCCTAATTTATTCAGGGTCAACATCTAGGTCAGGACTGTCAAACTCCCGTGGGTGGATGCATCACTCACTGGCCATGCCCACGCCCAGTTTAGTGAAGGGGAAAAAAGTATCAGTATGTCACGTGACGCTGCCGTGATGACATGAGTTTGACACCCCTGATCTAGAGAATGAAACTCTCATTTTGATAGCAGTGGTGAATTTGTTCCCATCCCCCACATCCTTCTTGAATATACCAGCTAAAAACAGAAGAACATCGAACCAACTGAAAATCTTCATTTGTCCCCTGCCTTTGTACTTTATGAAACAGGATAAATTTGCTGGTCCTTGTAGCCACCTACAGTGTAGATCACCATATTGGCTGGGAAATTCTGGGAGTTGAAGTCCATAAGTCTTAAAATTGCCAAGGTTGAACACCCCTGATATGGATGGT